CTCAATTGACCAAAAGCCACCTGGTAATAAGGGCCGCCAGTAGCCATGGCCGTACAGGAAGTTTTCGCTAATCTTCAGCCATTTGTGGAATCCAGCGCGCAAGCCTTACTGCTACTTGCTTTGCTACCTATTGTGTTTCCATGTCTTCTCTTCCTTGCTGTTTGCACACTGGTTTGGGCACTTATCTTCAGATACTTCAAAGCTGAGTACGACATCACCATTACGCGTGAAGCCTTGCCCCCGCATCCCGACACTGCCACAGTCACTACCAGAGATGGGATCGTGATTAATTATTACACCGCAGTGGTGCGTTCAGAGGATGGTACAATTCCAACAGTTTCAGATCCCAAGGTGGTTCTATTTTGCAACCCCTTGGGTCAGAAAGGGATGTCATCCTGGGGCAGTGCATCTGCTGCCATTGCTCAGCTTTGGGGCCCTGGCACGATCCTGATTTGCTGGGACTACCGTGGCTTTTTTGAGTCTGACGATCCCAAACGCCCCAGGACCGTGGACGTGCGAAATCATGCAGAAGACGGAGCGGTTGTTTTGGAAGAAGTTGTGGGCGACAAGCCTGCAACCTTGCTGGTCGGACACAGTATGGGAGTCCAAGTTGGTTTGGAGTTCACTCTCCTCTATCCTGAAAAAGTGGGAGCAATGATCCTTTTGAACGGAACCTACGGTCACGCGCTGCAGACGGCATTTCAGCCTATCCTCAGACTGCCATACGTGGGCAGTGTCATCAGCAGCGTGATTCAGTGGTTCCTGGCCAGAGGGCATGAAGACATCCTGGAAATGATTCGCAGGTTCTCTGAACCCTTCATCGGCATCCTCTTTCAAATGATGACAGTTCTCTTTGGCAGCAAATCTTTGCAAAAGCTTTATGGCAAAGATTATATGCTCAAAGCATGGCAGCAATATTTGGGTGGAATTTGCTCAAATGCCAAAAGCATGAAGGCGTTCTTGCGTGGATTCCAAGATTTGGATGCTCACTCCACTGGGCACCTCTTGTATCAGATAAGCCACCCCACTTTGCTGATGGCAGGAATTTGGGATACCCTTACCCCAGCATACACTATGCTGGTGATGAAACGCCAGATGGCCAATGCAAGACTTGTCCTTGACACATTTTCAGGTCATTTCAGCGTCATGGAACACCCGGAACTCGTAATGACAGAGATCGCAAAGTTCCTGGCGGAAGAGGTTCCTAACTTCAGGCGGCGCACAGGGTCACAATTCGAAAAGCCTTCTTTGAAGAAAGATATGTGATAGGATGTGAAGGATGTGATCGCGCGTGAGTGAATAAAGCAGCTTGGCTCATTCCCCAGACAATCTGGACAAACAGAGCTGCATCCTGGTCCTGGCATTTTTGCCCAGACATAGAATGACACAGATATGTTGTTTGGATTCTTTTGGCACCAAGCATGTGGTCTTGTTAAACATGACCAAGGTTGCACATTGATTGATTTGTACAGCAGCTTGACATTGAAGAAAAACGGCACACTTGCAGACGTCAGCATCTCCTTGCCATCTTGCCTAGAACATATTCCCGCTGTCGCGGGCAACTGAGACACTGGGAAAGGAGCCGCGGCAAGTTCAGCCATGCTGTAACCCTATGGTCCTATGGCCCTATGGTTGGTAGACGGAATCAGATCCAGAGGACCTCCCAGCCCCGAACACAGCCTCATAAGCATTAGTAAGTAAATTAATAAGCCCTACTTCATCCTACTTCCTACTTCCATGTGAGTGAGAGGACGGCTTGACGCGTCTGAGGTCGTCGTGATGAAATCACGCATCGCGCAGCGATCACAGCTGCCTGTGAGGAACTGTTTGGAGCCTCAGCATCAAATGCTTTTCATGGCAGGTGGACAAGTGCCAGTCAGGGAAAAATCAAAGACCTCAGAAACAGTTGTGGTACCTTAGATTATCTTAGGTTTATGTTCACCAGACCATAGCTTATTCTAAGGATCAACCAACTTGAAAAAAACGAGAGACATGCAAAAACAAAAATATAACAACCCAAAAGCAAATCAGCAAAATCCCACAAACGCAAAAGCAAAATAAAGGGGAAAAAAAGGAAAGTCAAAAAGGGAAAAAATGGAAAATGGACTTGTCCATTTGTATTTTTTTGCTTTCTCGATTTGTTTTTGTAACTGTTATTTTGTATTACTTTTTGCCTGGAAAACAAAAAAATGCAAATGGACAAGTCCATGTTTTCCATGTTTCCCCCTTTTTGACTTTCCTTTTTTTCCCATTTATTTTGCTTCCGGTTTTTTTCAGTTTTGAAGTTTTGCTTTTGATTCTTCACTTGTTTTCCTTTTTTTGCATTTTTCAAGTTTAAAAATAATTGGAATAAGCTATTTAGGAGAACATAACCTTAGATCCAGTTATTCGATTCTCTATGATCCACTGATCCACCAATGACCTATTTTTTCTCAATATGATATGCAGATTATCATGTTGCAAGACTATCTTTCTGTTGTGCATGCTTTGAGGAAAGCGATGTTGTGTTTGTGTCATATGGGCAGATACTTCACTTCAATCCCAAATCTCACGCACCTGCAAATACCTGCAGGCACTGGCTGCCAGCTCTGATCTTGCTGAAAGATATGGAGGACGTGCTATATAGAAATTGCTTGGGGAAAGACATTGGGAAGTCCTGGGGAATATTTCTAATGTGCGAATTGTGAACAGAACATTCTATAACACTCTGCTGAGTTCTGCTGTTCCTGGAATTGCTTGATATTGAAAATGTTTGAACCAATCTGATCACGTACAGAGCTGCCCGTCTCGATCATCCCTCGCAAATCACAAAAGGAAAACCCCGGCACTCCTGCCCTCACCCGTGCACCGTTCGCAAATGTCAATATGAATGACGATGCATGCATGCAAGCACACAAATCCTTTTCGGTATCATTGTCTCCGGTGTTGTCAATGATTTGTGTGCGAGGTGTAGCAATGTCAAACTGTTGTTGCGCATCACGACTTGGATAAGATGTTTTCCAATGCTTTCCATGCATCAGCCATTGAGTGATTGAATCAAGTCAAACCTGACTTCATCTCACTCCAAAGGAGTTGAATCACACTACATATCAGTGTCAGCGTGGGAGATCTGAGGAGCTGGGATTGGAGGCCGGCGCTCAGGCCTGTGGTTTCTTGTGACTTGGCAAACTTGTGAAGGGAGCTAAAGCACGTTGTAGCTTATGTTACCTAGTACATTCAGAAGTTGCAAGGGGTGGCTTGGATGCATTTAGAATCATAGGAAAAGGATGAATCCTATGTTTTGATGGGTGCAAATATGGTTGTCTTTGGGGGTGGAGGTACTGTTGCCGTGCGTGTGAGAATTGATAGGTTCAGAATTCAGACTGTTTCATTCTACAATACCATGTTGAAACGGTGCGGGTACCAAGAAATAGCATAAATAGCAAGAAATGCCAACAAGCTTCCAAGGATCAATGCTTGCGACTCTCAACGTCAAGTTGATAGCTCCCAACGTTTCTCTCGCCGGCTGGGCCAGGCAGCGGCATAGAATACCAGCTCAGGATGTGTTACGTAATATAGTTAGATTATGTTGGAGTTATGATAATGAGATTTATACCGTATGATATACATGATTCAGTAAGGCTTGCACGCCCTACGCAATTTGTTCTTCCGAGTTGAATCTCGACGCTCCTTCCTTGCATCTTAGGCCCTGCTTCACTTACAAGATTGGACTGGGGGTAGCCCTGATGGCCTTTTCTTTTATGGGAATTGAATGGTGGCAAAAAGCAGCGACGCACTGGCAGGCTGCTCTCGCTCGACTGCGCTTGCTTAGAAAAGGGTTCCTGGCGCGCTGACTTGTCATACCGTATGATACAGTAAATGATGTAAATGTATGTAAATGTAATGTGCCTGCCAGAAGTATGTATGTCACACATTTATAATTATTTTCGTTTTATCACGTTGCATGATGTTACATACGGACAGACGTTTGCATATACATATACAAATACCATATGCGTACACATACACTTGTCCAGACGCATACACGCACGCGCCCATATAACATATATATATAATTATATATACGTATTATATCATATGTGTGTGTATGATTGTGTGCGTGTGCGTGTGCGTGTCTTAATGTTGATACACATATATCACTCCGCTTGACTTGACTTCCTTGATGTGCCTTGGTCTTTATTCTCATAATCAAGCCACATGCAGTGAGCTTATGCAAGAGGGTAGCATGGTGTTGTCATAGGCTGACAGTCATTGCCAGTCTGCCAACTAAGCACTAAAGCCGAAGATTGTGAACAAGAAACGGAACATTTCACCTTCGCCTTCTGAGACACTGAACAAGGTAGGGTCAGACAAAGAGCTAGCCCTTTAGACGCAATGTCATTGGCAATTTAAAATACTCAGCTATGGTGGCACGGTGAGTTTGATTTTTACAGGGCAGAAAAAGCTGGAGACGCATTTGCTTGCACTGCAACTGATTCTTGGCATTCAATAGGGTTCAGATGGACTCTGAAGCAACATGGACACTGCTGTGCAGCAGCTTCAAAGCGCAGTGGATGCCTTGCGAGAAGTCTTTGAGTGGCCCGGCATTGTGATTTTTGCCAAGAAGATCCAAGAAGATCCAAGAAGTGTTCTTTTTCGGCGACGCATGGGCTGCTCAAAAAAACAAGGTCTCAGCTGAAGGGCAACGGCTCGCCCACGCCTCGGTGCTGATTTCAGAGGATGATTTTACCGACGGTGCATTCAGATTCCAAATTTGGGGACGGGGTATGACGGGGTGAAACTGTGAAACCCGAGACGAAAGTCTTCCAATGCTGCGCAGGTCCGAGAAAAGTTGCATGTTTATCCATTGCAGGACCTTACAGTAGTTGGAACGAAAACACCAAGCAAAAAGAAATGATGTTTAGGAATGGTGAAGATCAAACCAAACACGGCTGAAGCTCCCACAGGGTGCCCTGCCTCAAGGTGTGATGCGACAGTGAACCTCCAGGAGATCCAGTGCATCCCGTCAAGAACGACCAGATGTTGGACTCACATGGCAGCGGGCAGCTGCGTGTGACATGTCAATACGAATCAACTAGAAGACCAGGCCCTGGTAATTAGGAAAGAAATAAGAATATGATAAAGTAATATAAAGTAATAAATATCAATAGAAAATATGCTGTTTGTACATATACATGTACATAAGTGGAGGTGTGTGTGTGTGCGCGCGTGCGTGCGTGCGTGTGTGTTTCTGTGTGGTGTGCGGGTTCTAAAGACGCATCTACATAGGACAGGATAGGACAGGATTGTACTGATCAGCGAATCAGCCTCTTGAGCAGTCATACCCGTCATACCCAACGCATTGCAAGAGGCAGTGATGATCCAGAGCTCCTGGAAGATGTGGCAGAGGCCTTTGAATTACAGTCGATTACAGTACATATTTGCACATTGCTTTGGGTGAGTGATGGTGAGTGATGGACCTGGTTCATCTCACAATCTCTGATGATCTCTGTCATGTCTTTGAAGTCATTGGATGATTTGGATGGGCTGCCGGTCTTGTTGGGACAGTTGGAAAAGATTGGAAAGTGGAAATATTACGCGCAAGGCCACGGCCGTCACAGCCTGCATTACCCCATGAGCTTCTGCGGCATCCTAGCATATCCTAGCATTTCAGGACCTGCTGGAAACGTCATTGAGCTATTGCTGTGAGATCTTCTGGCAGCACATTGATGGCGCCAGCAGCCAACGATGGGAGGACGGATTGCCACTCTGGGTTCAGACGCATGACACGCAATGGCATGCCATGATACGAAACGAAAAGGTCCTGCGCACCTCACAGGCGTAAAGAGAATGAAGTGCAGGATTTGGAACAATGCAAGATTCTAGATATGCTAGGAATGCTTGGGATGTGTACATCAATGAGACATCCATCAAGGTGGCTTGCAGTCATAGACTGCATATGGACATGCTATTGTATGAGAGATGTCAGGCTGGACTAAACAGCTTCCAGAAGCTCCTTCGAGAGCACGAGCGCTTACTGCACCATCTTGCTCTAGGAGAAGCTTCCAAGGCGTGGATTTGAAGAGTTTGAGACAAAACGAGGTGTCCGAGGATCCCTGCAAATTGTTGAAGGGATATGAGTAGAAAGTACTGTATGACTTTGGAACACTCATTATGTGAGCTTCAATGAGCCGTGGATAGCTTGAATTATCAGAAGCAGTAACTTTGCCGAAACTCTGATGTACCAACTTACCAGGCGGAAGAAAAGGAGGGAGAGTTGAGCTGAGTTTTTCCCCCTCGGACTGCGAACTCATGGCACTTATGGCTAGCCTTCAAATCTACCAGGCGCGCCTAATCTCTGCACAGCGCGTGGCCTTTCGAGTTGCCTTTACATCGACTTGGCCGTTGCAAGTGGCAGCCGCCTGACTCGAAAGTCAGAGGTGAGTCCTGTCTTGCCAATATTGCGCCAGGAATTAGATATAATTTGCTAGCATCATTGGTGTCTCTCGGATGATTTTTGCAAGATGAACAGATAGGGAAAAGATCATCACTAAATGCTGTTCTGATCTGTTATGAGTATGGCTAGCCTCCGCAAATCCAAGGACAATTTGCAGGTTTACTTCCAGCAGACTTGGAACCAATGCTTTCGCCACCAGGGAGAAACTCTTGCGACAGAGCAACCCGGCCTGCAGGGAGATGGAAAATGAATGAAAATGATGGTATAATGTTTGCACGTTTGCGCCACTTCTGCATTCAAAGGTTATCAAAATATCTGTGCCGCTCGTGCACACGTCATTCCCAAGCTATGCACCATTTTGCCCGAAACAAAGGACTTGCTGCATCACCTCACGACACAGAGTCAACACACTTGAATTACTTGATGTTTATTTTTGGCACGGGGCTTGCATGGCTTCAGGGAAATCCACACATGCAATTGGTTTATGTTCTGACACACTTGCGCTGATCTTGACTGGTAGCTGCTCAGCTTTGTTCAAGACGAGACTATGCAAAACTGATAAACATGATGATAGTTCTGGAGCAGAAGCAGATGCCATGCGTGTTTTAGGTGGTGGTGCGTTGGTCTTGAGAATCCTGTACAACGTGTCCTGGCACTGCTAGAACCTTGGGAGAATCAGGCCTGCACGGATTCCTGGCACTTGCTGAAAACATAGCTTCATTATGTTTCTTGCCTCCCTTACAACATTTTCAGCTGCATGCGCAGGCCCAGAGGACCTCAAGCTCGGTCAGCTCCGTGAGGCCACTCGACGATGTCCAGACCACGGGTTGATCGGAGGGGATGCAACGAGATCGAGCCACTAGAGACACTAGAGACAAGGTTGGATGGCAGTTGAACTTGTACTGTTGGCATCTCTAAAATCTGACGCGGGTGCCAAAGATATTGCAAGTCTGCTTCTCATATGTTCTCATACAGCATGCAACCTCTGGCAGCGATGCAACATGATGCAACGCTTTCCTGAGGTTAACAGCAGCTTCCACAGACGAGGAGCGGCGTGTGTGCTCTTGTTGTTTTCAGATTTCAGATGCTTTCAGCATTTTTTATATGTTAATCAAAGGAAGTTTAGGGGGAGAAACTTCCATGTTACGGACTTTTAGAATGTCAGGGAAAGAGTTAGTCAAAGAAAGAGTTCGTCAGGGAAAGAGTTAGTCAAAGAAAGAGTTAGTGAGGGAAAGAGTGAGTCAAAGAAAGAGTTAGTCAAAGAAACAGTTAGTCAGGGAAAGAGTTAGTCAAAGAAAGAGTTAGTGAGGGAAAGAGTTAGTCAAAGAAAGAGATAGTGAGGGAAAGAGTTAGTCAAAGAAAGAGATAGTGAGGGAAAGAGTTAGTCAAAGAAAGAGTTAGCAAAGAAACAGTTAGTCAGGGAAAGAGTTAGTCAAAGAAAGAGTTAGCAAAGAAACAGTTAGTCAGGGAAAGAGTTAGTCAAAGAAAGAGTTAGTGAGGGAAAGAGTTAGTCAAAGAAAGAGTTAGTGAGGGAAAGAGTTAGTCAAAGAAAGAGTTAGTGAAGGAAAGAGTTAGTCAAAGAAAGAGTTAGTGAGGGAAAGAGTTAGTCAAAGAAAGAGTTAGTCAAAGAAAGAGTTAGTCAGGGAAAGAGTTAGTCAAAGAAACAGTTAGTGAGGGAAAGAGTTAGTCAAAGAAAGAGTTAGTCAAAGAAACAGTTTGTCAGGGAAAGAGTTAGTCAAAGAAAGAGTTAGTCAGGGAAAGAGTTAGTCAAAGAAAGAGTTAGTCAAAGAAACAGTTAGTCAGGGAAAGAGTTAGCAAAGAAACAGTTAGTCAGGGAAAGAGTTCGTCAAAGAAAGAGTTAGTGAGGGAAAGAGTTAGTCACAGAGAAAAGAGTTAGTGAAAGAGAAAGAGTTAGTCAAAGAAAGAGTTAGTCAGGATATATGAGGTAGTCAAAGAAAGAGTTTGCAAAGAAACAAGTTAGTCAAAGAAAGAGTTAGTGAGGAAAAGAGTTAGTCACAGAAAGAGTTAGCAAAGAAATTGTTCCCTCACTGTAAATGGGATTGCAAGTGGTGCTGGTGGAGGAGTTGCCGATAGAGTTTTGGAGGAAGTCTCGCACGAAATGCGTTTTTGAGAGATAGCAGATGCACGAAACCCTATGTTTTACCATACAAAGTCCGTCCCCGAACCTCGATGATCTACCTCTGCGGTGCGACGGGAGCGAGACGGTCTCGTGTGTGGTCGGAACGGTCTCGGATCATGGTCGGATCGGTCTCGGATCGGTTCCGCATTGTAAATGGGGTGTCACCTGTGTTTCGTGCACTTGCGGTCGACAGAATTCCATTGTGATTTGCAACTGTAGGATCGTTCCCGCAATGTAAATGGGATTGCAAGTGGTGCTGGTGGATGAGGTGCCGATGGAATTCCATTTTGATTTGCAACTCTAGGATCGTTCCCTCACTGTAAATGGGATTGCAAGTGGTGCTGGTGGAGGAGTTGCCGATGGAGTTTTGAAGGAAGTCTCGCACGAAATGCGTTTTTGAGAGATAGCAGATGCACGAAACCCTATGTTTTTTCCATACAAAGTCCGTCCCCGAACCTCGATGATCTACCTCTGCGGTGCGACGGTTGCGAGACGGTCTCGTGTGTGGTCGGATCATTCTCGGATCATGCTCGGATCATTCTCAGATCGGTTCCGCATTGTAAATGGGGTGTCACCTGTGTTTCGTGCATTTGTGGTCGACAGAATTCCATTGTGATTTGCAACTGTAGGATCGTTCCCGCATTGTAAATGGGGTTGCAAGTGGTGCTGGTGGATGAGTTGCCGATGGAATTCCATTGTGATTTGCAACTCTAGGATCGTTCCCCCACTGTAAATGGGATTGCAAGTGGTGCTGGTGGAGGAGTTGCCGATGGAGTTTTGGAGGAAGTCTCGCACGAAATGCGTTTTTGAGAGATAGCAGATGCACGAAACCATATGTTTTTCCATACGAAGTCCGTCCCCGAACCTCGATGATCTACCTCTGCGGTGCGACGGGTGCGAGACGGTCTCGTGTGTGGTCGGATCATGCTCGGATATGTTCGGATCATTGTCGGATCGGTTCCGCAATGTAAATGGGGTTTCAACTGTTTTTCGTGCATGTGTGGTCGACAGAATTCCATTGTGATTTGCAACTGTAGGATCGTTCCCGCATTGTAAATGGGGTTGCAAGTGGTGCTGGTGGATGAGTTGCTGATGGAATTCCATTGTGATTTGCAACTCTAGGATCGTTCCCGCAATGTAAATGGGATTGCAAGTGTTGCTGGTGGATGAGTTGCCGATGGAATTCCATTGTGCTTTGCAACTGTAGGATCGTTTCCGCAGTGTAAATGGCTGCGTCAAGGTTGCTTCGTGCTGTGGCTGCATTGGTAATACTATTGTCTTTTGCAGCTGGATCTCGTAAATCCTATTGGAGTGGCTGCATGAAGGCTGCGACAGTGATTTGTTAGCAGATTTTCTCCATTTTGGCGCTAGTGATTTTCCTTCTAAAAATCCTTTTAAAAAGTGCTTCAAAATCGTCTTTTTTTTTTCGCTCTGGCGTCGAGATCCGGTTTTGGAGCTACAATTTCCGACGCCGTTGCGCGTAGTTCTATTGTGTTTTGCAACTCAGTCTCTGCAGATCGCATTGTAATGGCTGCGTCAAGGTTGCTTCGTGCTGTGGCTGCATTCGTAATACTATTCTCTTTTGCAGCTGGATCTCGGAAATCGTCTTGGAGTGGCTGCATGAAGGCTGCGAAATGGGTTTGTTAGCAGATTTTCTCCATTTTGGCACTAGTGTTTTTTTTGTTGGACGTACGTTTAGAGCAGTGTGAAGTGTGGGGCGTGAAGAGTGCAGTGTGAAGTGTGAAGTGGGAAGTGCGAAGTGTGAAGTGTGGAGTGTGAAGTGTGGAGTGTGAAGTTTAAGTTTGGAGTGCGAAGAGCGCAGTGTGAAGTGTGAAGTGTGAGGTTTGGAGTGTGAAGGCAGCAGCGAGAAGTGAGAAGTGTGAAGTGTGGAGTGCGAAGTGTGGAGTGTGAAGTGTGAAGTTTCGAGTGCGAAGAGTGCAGTGTGAAGTGTGGAGTGCGAAGTGTGGAGTGTGAAGACTTTGCTTCGTCTCTCGCTGAAAAAAAAGCCGCTTGTCGAGGGAAGGACACGGTCGGGACAGGGTGTCTTTGAACTATAGGTCATTTATGTTTGGGAAACTTCCGCCGCCGGCTTGCCCGGGTCTATGTTATCAGATATATCAGCAGTGATAGTTCCAAACATTCAAAACATTCCAAAGCGTGTCAAGTCGTCAAGTTTTCCTTCAAATTGGCTTTTAGCCACTGGAAAATGTTCAATCCTGCACGAAGGATGTCGTCATGGGCGCCGACGATGCTGACGGAGATGAAGAGGATGAGGACAGGTTGCAGATTTGGAATGCTCATCGGCTTATCGGCTTGCGCTTGGTGATTCTAATCGTTGAAATATTGTTAATATATGACAATATAATTAGTGTACACTAATATATGGGCACTTAATGTCGGTGACATTTGGTATCACATTTATTAACATATTGACATGCCTCGGTAATATTAACATGTCAATGCACATGCTCCCAGTACTGCATTTGCATGTCTTTGCACTTGAGGACGAATTGGACATTGATGAGGACCCGATCTTGGGTGAAGAGAATCAAAGTCACTTAAGCTGGAAGCATTCCTTAGCAAACACTTCAATGTAGAATGGGGAGCTTTGGATTGTTCTTGTGGTGCTGACGCTGGCTGTACTTGGGATGCTTTTGACATTTCCTATTATTCTTGCTAGTTTTTGCTCCTGTGATGCGGAGAAATGTTCATATCGCTCACAAAATCAGGCTCAAAGAAAAAGTTACCCTTGAAAGCGGGCAGAAGGATGTTATATAATGGGCACTGCAAACAACAGGACCCAATTGAATCCACTAGATGTACAGCTGTATGTAGCCATGCCAGGGCACATTGCTGGAGAGAGAGCGAGAGAAAGAGACAGAAAGAGAAAGAGAAATACATATATATATATGTGAAATATATATGAAATACATATATATATATACATACATACAACACATATATAGGGCGATATATATATATATAATGCTAAATGCATATGCATAGGATTTACCACCGCCTTCGATTTGGGGTCACATTTTGTCAAATTGCCTTGCATTGAGGAGAATGCTGACAACAACCTTCCAGGTGGCTGGACACAACTGCAGCAGTTCAACCAGGGAATTTAGTTTGAACATGGGGCGCGTCGAGGTGAATAACAGCCAAAAAAATGCTGGATCAAGCCATCTCCCAATGATGGAACAGCCAAGGTTTGCGCGTAGTTTCCAAGGCCGCAGCAGCCAACTGAACTGAACCTTGAAGCTGTTTGAGCGCACCAATCTCCACAAACTTCCCACCGTTGCACCAGTTGTGCCACAGTTGTGCCAGGGTGCAGCAACATAGCAAGTTGTGAAGCAAAACAGCCCTGCTGACCGATGCCATGTTTTACAATAGACGTGCATTACTGTATACATCACACAAATTCGTGCGTATATGACTCGTATATGATGATATTGAAACAGGTTTGAACATAGATACACGCACATTCATTATGTATGCTATAGTATGATACAGTATGTGTGTTTGTTTGTATGTTTTCTATGCGCATGTTCATGTGCAAGTATTTTCAACATGATCAGCCGAACTGAGCCGCCGGCAGATTGCAGGCAATGCATTCTTTGGGGCTCCAAGCACCCTGGGTGGACTTGGCCAAGCGTTTTTTCACTTCCAAAGTGGCCCAGTTGTTGGAGGAAACCCTAAAGCAGAGCGAAGGCTGTGGGATGAAAATGAAAAGGTGATACCGCGTGATAGAAACAAAATATACACGTGCATAATATGTATATACACATATGTATATATATATATATATATATTTGCACATGTATATACACCGCAAAAGGCATGAAAGGCTTGAAGTGCGGCCATCACGAGTAGAGAGCCGTGAAGCCCAGGCTCTAGGCAGGTTGCATTTCATGTGGCAGACAGGGCAGATAAAGCATGTTATTTTGCATATTCCGCTTGAAAAAGGTGAATCATGATAATCATGCCTTGTTGGCCACCACGTGCTGGCATTCTTTCTCACGTCCATTTCACAGCATTGTTGATGGGGCATGTTCCGGAAGCATTCACGGAAATGGAATATGCGCATTTCATTGCGTTTCACACGAGCCGAGCTCAAGTGTTGCAAGGAGCGATGCCGCTCGGAGTATGACAAGAAGGCTGGCATTGTGCTGCTCAAAGGATTGCAAACGAGTCTGGTGCATTTGATTCTTCATGATGTAGGGGGATATGAACTTGTCAGCTCAGGGTCTACTGGACCGCTTGACCCGGCTCTTCTATGGTTCGATGCTTCGATGGCTCCGCGCCGTCTTTGGACTTCCGCTCTGGGCTCCAAGCACTCTGAAAGAAGCAGCATGGCTAAAATAATCTGGCAGCAAAGCACATGAAGACTTGACTACAACGTCTTGGATTGACATGGCCTAGAATGATGGATTACTTCCTCTTCTTCCTCATATCTATTTGCATCGTGTTGCTGTATACCTCCCCGCATACTTCATATTTCTGCATGCTGGAACTCGTTTGAGTTGCATGTTCCAACTGATCCGAGTGCATGTGCATCCAAGGATGCTGGTCAGACGTCAGAAGATGTTCAGGCATGTGATTTCGGATTATTTGGATACAGTTTGGTGTCATGATTTCATGTCACATGTCATTCAAGGAATTCTGGAGCGCTGGCTTGGAGCATTCTTAGGGATCGATGGTATCGGGCATCACTCCATGTCATGCAACACAAGGCTGAAGAATCGTGGTGGCATGTGGCACGTGGTGCTGTGCTTCGCTTCTTCGAAGCCTTCTTGGAGGTTCGTTTGGGCACCTTGGCTTGACCGGGCAGCCGGGCAGCACTGACCAGTACTCATTCTTGAGATTTTTCCGATGCAACATTGGCACAAAATAAATATTCAGGATATTCAGGCAGACCCCCTATTGTTTTTCTAACAATGTTGTTTGCCTACGAGTAACATTGACAAAGGTTCACTGCACAAAGTTTCAACTCTGTTTCTACTGCTATGTTCTCTGTGTTTCAACAACCAACGTCCAGGTGAAGCCTTTGATATGGTCCGGGACTTTCCTGAGTCTGCCCCAGCGCTTTTAGATTTGAGGCGTGTCCAGTGAGAAGTGGAAGATTTGTGGTGCCAGAACACATCCTCAGCATTGGTCGGATTCATCTACCATCATCTCGCACCACACAGCACATGCCACTGTTTGTTTTGCGCAGTGCCGTCACAGATAATATGCTCACCAGATGGATGGGATTCTGAATTGTCGATCTGGTGAAGCATCGTTGCCAAAGATGTGCAACGAAAGCTGCATGTTAACTATTGGAGGTCTATTTTTTCTGGGATTTTCCCTTTTTTTTCCCGTTTTCTGGTGGAAGGAAGGGAGGGAGGGAGGGAGGGAGGAAGGAACAACGCAACGTAACAAGAGCAGCAGCAGCAGCAGCACCACCACCACCACCATCATCATCATCATCAACACGAAGCGCCACAACATACACAAACACCACAACAACAAAAAGACACACCATTAGCATCATTGCACCTACAACACTAGCTACGAATATAGCTAGCCCTGCATTTATCCATACAGCCAACTACGCTAGCTCTGCGCTTATCAATATAGCCTTTGTTTCTCGTTTTTCTTGTCTATTGTACCGGCTCCATTTGATCAAACCTGACATCATGCATGTACTATAATTCGTTTGATCTTGCTATTCTGGTTTTTATCCAACCTGTTTTTTCCTTATTGTTCTTCATCTTCGTACATTTCTAACTCACCCCTGGCCCTACAACATTTTTCATCATCCCTGGTGTTGGATATATCAGTTGGTTATGTCGTGCCTTTGATCTTATTGGAGGTGCATTTTTTTTGCTTTTGTTTTTGGTCCTGGCTCCTGGTGGCTTCTGGTGGCTTCTGTGGCCGTGGCTCCTGGTGGCTCCTGGTGGCTTCTGCGGCTTCTGTGGCTTCTATGGCTTCTATGGCTCCTGGCTCCTATGGCTTATCTATCATCTATCGATCAATCTATCAGTGAAGCATGTTCACCAGGTGCATGTTGTGCATTAGATACACATCCACCTATATATCTATATCTATATGTTTACCTATATCTATATCTAAATCTAAGTCTATATCTGTATCTATATCTATATCTATCTAACTAACTCTATCTATACCTATCTATATCTATCTATGTCTATATCTATGTCTATATCTATGTCTATGTCTATATCTATGTCTATGTCTATATCTATGTCTATATCTCTCTGTATCTATTTATGCCTATCTATATCTACATCTACATCTACATCTTTCTCTGTCTCTATATCTATATCTTTATCTATATCTATATCATTCTATATCTATGTTTCTATCTATATCTGTATCTATCTATCTATCTATCTACCTACCTATCTATCTATCTATCTTTCTATCTATCTATCTATCTATCTATCTATCTATCTATCCTCCTTTCCTTTCCTTTCCTTTCCTTCCTTTCATTTCCTTTCCTTTCCTGTCCTTTCCTATCCTATCCTATCCTATCTATCTAAAGGGTTTGCATTATCATTAAGATGATATTCAAACCCCAAGCCAACCCTGAACCAAGCCAGAATATACAGTACACCAACCTTATATAAAGAGATCTTACACCAACACGATGATAACATCCAATGAAACTATTGTGCATCCTTGTGCCTTAACCTGCATTCCACATGTTTCCAGGGTGTAGTATATACACCTTGAGTATCACATTCAACCCAGCACCTTGCATGTGAAAATAGGTGTTTCCAATCTGCTTTGGGGCAACCCTCCCGTTTTTTTCAAATTTAAACTTGCACACTTTCCAATACACTAGTTTCATTAGTTGATATATACATATATATATATATGTATTGATATACATACATACATATATATATATACATACATATATACTTATATATACATATATACTTATATATACATATATACTTATATATGCATACATACTTATTATATATACATATTTATATATACATGTATATGTACGCACTCTTTTATATATACACAAATATGTGTATATATATATATGCGTGTATGGTTGCTTATATACCCAGTTTTCATCCCAAAATAGACTATAAATAATCATGCGCATGGATATGCATACAAATAATTATAGTTATTTGCATGTACATGCTGTATCCCTAAATAACCCCTAAACCAAACCCTGCATGTATATGCATGTATATTACAGTAGATACATTTGTAAATACACTGATCTACATATACATAGTCATGATTAGTCATGCACGTATACCTCTATACATATACCATTTATACTTGGCACATCGTGTATTTTCAAAAATCAATGAAAACTTCGGAAAACAAAAAATGAAAACCATGTAAAAATCAATGAAAACTCTGGAACAATGAATGAAAACAAGTGAAAACTGAATGAAAAACATATGTACACAAATTGATGAAAAACATAGAAACATTGAAGAAAACCATTGAAAAATGGAAGAAAACCATGGAACATCGAAGGAACAATGGAAGAAAACCATGGAACAATTGAAGAAAACCATGGAAAAATCTGTGAAAATCATGGACAAATCAATGAAAACCATGTAAACTCGATAAAAACCATGGAACAAATTCTGAAACCAGTGGAACAATTGATGAACAGTGTGAATGAGAGATTTTAGCTACAAAATGCAGCAAATTAGATATTTTAGCTGCAAAAACCAAGGAAGGGAGCCTGGACGACCAAAAAAAGAAAAAATGCAAAAAAAAAATGCCAACTTAATTCCGCCCCCGATATTATTTTGTATATTTTCATAACCTATTTGTATCTATTTTTCCATTTCTCTACCCCCTTGAACTTCTAGTTCATCTCGTGGCCATTTTGATCATCCCTGGTATTCAAAATATCACGCGCCTGGGGGATCCAAACTCCAAATGTAACAAACACCATGCAAATCAGAGAGCTTAGCTGCAAAACGCTGCAAATACCAATGAAAACCATCAAACCCCAAAAACGGGGAAAAAAAACAAAATAAATCGTAACCCTTTAGTATAGACATGAAAAGTATATAAACTGGAGGTAGGAATAGGTGCCGGGGTATGGCTGGTACAGTACTTATTGAAAATCACACGCAATCCATCGCGATCCACTGACTTCGATTCGCAATAGATCCAAGGGATCTTAGGCAGTCAAGCACATATCAGTCGATGTCAGTCAACATTTGTCAATATGTGTACTCTATATATATATGTATATATATATATAATTATATATATATGTGTATATATATATATATATTAAATTGAAAATTTATTGGACATGTTGAACTGATTGATTCTCTTTTCCTTGCACCTTCGAGGCGTTGTTTGGCTCGCACTGGCCGGTCTTCACCGCTGGTGGTGTTTTTGCGGGAGCAGATTGGTGATCGGCTGCTCATCGCTGGCGCTCATACCCGTCGCTTGCGATGTTGAGGAAACATTTTTGTGTTTTGTTTACTGTATTTTGCAACCAAAGTACAATCCAGACGATTCATGCCTTGCACCCAAGCTAGAGCCACCTTCACATTCTTTGCGGATCTTTGCGGCATTTCAGTGAGTTGCGAGGTCATAGAAGTCTGCTGGTATCGAGGGTCTGGTGGGGACAGTGTTTTGAATTTGATCGAGGTGATGTCATAGAAGTTTACATCAAGACGATCAAGGCCTTGCGCTTGGTAGATCCTCGTGGTCTCCTCCTCGAGGGTGTGCCAAAACCTTAGGCCACAGGCAGATTTGGCCATCCACAGGGAGCGTAAGCAGATTGAAATAGCATGAAATGACCATGGCACAGGGTCAGTCAAGCATGGACTTGGAAGCCAAGGTCAACCCCTATCCGGGAATACCTGAAGAAGAGGAAGGATACCGTCCGGTGCATCATCACAGCATCTTCCCGGCACTGTGATGAAAATGTTCCTTTGAGTGCCGTCTTCGCTCAATCATACTGTTGATGTGTGTGTGTGTGTGTGCGCGTTTGCTTACGCATTTCTGCTGCCCGCATTTTTGGTGTGGTCATTCAGTATATGCACATGTTGTTTGTTCTGGTCATTCTGGTCTTGTGACTCCACTTCTCGGCATTTCCTACACTGCAGCGAGGCACTCACAGAGGATTCCGACTTGCAGCAAGAGCTGCAACTCGGAGCGGAGGCACAAAGTTCGGCTTAGGGCGGATGTGCCATTGTTTGCGCTTGCATCAAGTATCATGCAGAAAAGATTACCTGAATACCAGGCATGTCTGTGCATGGCCATCATCATGTCTTGCATATTAGCTATGCTTTGGACGTTTTTCTGCATGATGCTGAAGATGTGGATGTAAAGTGTACATAATTCACACTTTCGGAATAAATAGCCCAACATGAGTATCCGGGAATCTTGAAAGTTTCTTGGAGGTGACGGTCGTGGCCTTACACGGGTTTGGCTCAAGATCGATCGAAAAGTGTGTCGCTGCTGTTTGTGTTTGACATTCACTGCACTGCAACTGGTGATTCACTGACAACGTGTTAGCTTCAACTGCACTGTCAACGATTCTTTTGCACTTGATCCTTGCTGTTCGCGCTTGCGCGATTTACTGTATTATACGGATACAGGTGGTTAAATCATATTTCTACTGGTTATCAGCCGCAGCCCGGCTTAATCATACTGAGTGAGATCATTTGATTATTGGATCATTGGGCCCTTTATCAAACAACACAGTCACTCATTGCTCGCGCATTGCGCGGATGTCGGACACTCCTCCGAAGCGCACTCGTGGGAAGCGAGGTGGTGATCCATTTCGTCGCTCGCAAGTGAATCGCAAGGCTGCTGGCCTGGTCTCCCACCTGGACTACCACGATCCGGACAGTTTTGAAGCTGATCGTATTGCCCAGGAAAGGAGAGAAGAGAGGTCACGCTCAGTCGCAAAAACTGGGGCTGTGGCAAAGGGGCCAGTTGAGCCAAGGTATCCTCCAAGGGCTGTACCAGCTGCTTCTGTGGCTGGTGGAGAGTCAAGGAGGGGTGTGCCGCAGAGGCAGGTCACTGTGACCCAGTCCTCGGTGGCGGTGCCTGCTCGGCCGATTCCGCCGCCTCCAGCTCCGAGTGGTGCAGCTGAGGGCCAGTGGCAGCTGTCTTGGGTGTGGGTTCCGAATTCGGAAGATCCTGGGGCTGCTTCGTCGGTGGATAGGTCGGCGGCTCCGACTGCTCCACCAAAGGCACCTTCAAGGAGGAGATCAAGATCGCCATTGAGGAGGAAGAGTCCAAAGGGTGTTCCTGCAAAGCCTAGCAAGGCAGGTACATCTGTGGCCGAGGCAGAAACTCCAGTTGCCAAGGCCGGCACTCGGGTGGCTGAGGCTCCAAAGGAGAGCGCTAGGAAGCAGTTGCCGAGGCCAAGAGTGAAACCTACTGCGGAGACAACTGAGGCAACTTCAAAGGTGACAGGGGCAAAGGCTGTGTCTGGCACAGCTGAGGAGGTGATAGAGGTTGAGGAGGAGCCTGCGAGGAGCTCTTCACCCCTTCCGACAAGGAAGAAGAAGGCTAGAGGAGCTGCTCCGAGTTCCGGTTCAAGGACCTCGGTTGGGGCTGGTGGTGCTGAGAGGCCATTAATTGGTTTGGATTGGCATCGCACTTTGAGCCACGAGAAGTACACCGATAGTGGGGTGAAGGAATCCTTTGTTCCTCCGGCCTCCGTTGTTCTCATCAGGGAGCTCCAGAGGAAGGGGTTTGACTTCTGCGTGGTGTCCTTCTCCAGCAACGTGGGCACTCAGAGGCAGACGCTTGACGGTGCTACGAACCTTCAGGCCCAGCTAGAGCGCAACTTCACGCAGATCTCCATTGTGCCTCGGAAAAAGACCTCGGACTACGCCAGGAAAGCGAGCATCACAGGCAATTGGGAGTCCAAGGCAGAGCTTGTCCGGGATCTTGGGTGTGCTATCTACATCGGCGACCAGGAGGAGTTGTGCCAGGACATCAGATCCTTGCAGTCAAGTCGTGCTGTGGGGAACAGGGTCCAGACTGTGGTTGCAAACAGTCGTTCTCCGACGGACTCGCTGAAGCCCCTTGCCAATTTGGTGAAGGACAAGGAGGTCAGTGAGTTCCCAGTGCCATCGGTGCTCAAGTCCTTCAATTGAGCTTCTTTGAGATTGTGGGCGTCTTCTGGAACGTTGGTGTCTACAACCTTGTGGATTTTCAGGAGTGTGACGCAGTTCATTGGTTCGTCTTGTCTCTGATCGCTGCCTACTTTGGGCGCGAGGGCTTCGTTTCAGCAGTTCGCGCTTTGCGCGGTAGTCTTGGGCATTTTGCTCTGTTCGCGATTTCGCGACTGATTCAGGTGGTTGTCTGCAGTTCGCGCTTTGCGCGGTAGTCTTGGGCATTTTGCTCTGTTCGCGATTTCGCGACTGATTCAGGTGGTTGTCTGTAGTACGCGCTTTGCGCGGGGTGTTCTGCCAGAGAGTGTCGATGAAAAGGGAGCAGCCTGCTACTCCGTTTAGGGTTGTGGGACCGGATCATTCTGAGTGGACCACCTCGAGTGAGTCTCCAGATCAACCAATGCAGTCGGCATCAAATATGCCGGCGATTCGGGATGCCGTGTCTCAGGATGCCTTGCAGTCAACGTCTGCTACTACAACGATGCAGAGAGGCAGACGTACTTCTTCGTCAGGACAGGCTGCTGCTGGGTCATCGACTGGGCAGGATGGTGCATCATTGAATCAATTCAATACTCAAAACATTCAGCAGAACACGTTGAATCATCTTCAGCACAATGTTCACCATACTCAATCCATCAATCACATGGTAGATCCTCAACAGCTTGAGCAGATGGTAAATGCTACTGTTCAATATCGGGTGGAGGCTACTGTTTCACAGATGCGCGATCAAATGAACGCGCAGCTCGCGAGACTTGAGATAGAACATCAAGCGCGATTAAGTCAGGCAGAGCACGCGAGTAGGCAGGCGTTGCAACACATGCAGGCAGAAGGTTCGCAACAGATCACACAAATCCAGAGAGAGAGAGAGAGATCAGGCGATTCAGCAGATGAACAGGGATTCGCAGCAGCTTCAGCAAGCTCAGCACGAGAAGGCCATTTTGGCCAAGAGGGCTGAGGGAGAGATCATGTCAAACATGCAGCGTGCTGACGAAACCATATCCCAGTTGAAGAGTGACAATCTTCGCCTTGATTCGGAAAGGCGATCAATGCATGACCATATCTCTTTGTTGACCCAAGAGTTGGCGGCTTTGAAACAGCAGATGGCAGAGAGAGACAGAGCATCAACTGCCAACTCTGTTGCTGGATCTTCTCATAGAAATCCTTTTGATACTCCAGCCTTGAGGTCACCGGATCCTGATCAGGTCACGTTGAGAGCCTGCAGTGTTGCTAGTGTCAATCCGATGGAAGTGATGTTCTGCGCATGTTGTGGATCACAAAATGTGGTTGGAAGACCGTCATGTTGGAAATGCTCAACAATGTTCAGTTCGGTTACAGCCAACAATGGCGCGGATCAGTTTGTAAATCATGAGACGAGCAGTGTTGCCCCGCTATTTAGAGCACCGAGCCTTGCACATTCTGGACTATCACAGATCCAGCGTGTTGGTACTGGCTCCGTCGTTCCCATTACTGAGAGCGCATGTGCTGGAATGCCACCAAATTTTCCTAACACAGGATGTTTGACTGGTTTGGGGGCCGCGGCCAATGCCACTGCAGAGCAACAGGGGATGCAGAAACATCAGATTGTTTTTGACCCAAATGGACCTAGGGTTCAAGCAGGGCATGTGATGCCTCCGTCTCTTTTTCAGGCTTCCCAACAAGATGGTCAACCAATCGCTATGCATGGAAGTGTCACGGCTCGCGGGCCACAGTTTCACAGGATGAATTCATCATCGAACAGCCAAGGTTCCACTGACAGGTCAGAGAGTCTTCCAGCAGGAGGCGGACGTGATGGTGCCGGCAACAGTGGTCCACCACCAGGGGGTGGCTTCTTCCTGGTGAGTCAGATGAGCAGGTGTACAAGATCAAGCATTTGAAGGGTATCCAGATCACTAGATTGCCCAATGATGCTACATCATGCAGGGAATGGCGTGCGGCTTTTCTTGCCGCGGTTAGCAGAATAGACCTCACAGATCGTGATGTGCTTGTCAAATTTTGCGTTCATTGCATGGATGGAGGTAGAGGTAGAAGGTTCAGAGAGGATTTGCAGACATCAACAGCGTTTTCCATGTTCAATAAGCATGTGGCCGCAGAGCTGATCAAACCAGAAGTCCTTGCCACCAACTCTGACCTAGCTCATGAGTTGACATCGTGGGTTGAGGAGTGTGCCACTCGTCGAGAGGGGCCAAAGGGCATGCCACTGATGAATCTCATAATCAGCTTCTATGAAACGGGAGCCGACACATCAGTTGCTCTCAGTCAAATGCACTTGTTATCATTGCAATTGGCTGGAAAATCCCTGAAAGATGTTGGAGAGTTCGTTAAGAAAACGAACTATATTTTGCACGGCCTCAAGCCATCCGACAGACCAGCTGAGAGCACGCTATATGCTTGGTTGTGGCATCAAGTCAAACGTGTGCCGATGTTGAATAGGGTGACTGAACGGATTCGCAACAGTAGGAGTGGTTCCAAGAAAAGAACGTTTGATTGGCTATGGGCTCAAATCGCAGTGGAATTGAGAGAAAGGAGGCACGATAGCAATTTCGACAACGTGTCCAAAGGGTTGCAGTCTTCTCCACCGAATCAGCTTGCCTTGCCGGCTCAGCATCAGGAACCATCAGGTAAGCAGCATCCAGGCAAGCCCAAGGTTGAATCTCGAGCTTCAGTTCCGGCCGCCCCAGGACCAATTGATCCTGGGAAATCGAGTCAGGAGAAGAAGAAGATTCCATGTGCTCTTCATGCAGCAGGACATTGTAGATTTGGAACAGGATGTAGGAACCTACACAACGGTGAACCAGGGTCAGATGTTGCCAAAAGGGCTTTCACAGAGTATCAGCAGTCAAGTTCATCATCCAAGAATCATCAAAAGGGTGATGGAAAGGGTGGCTCAAAGGGTTCAAAGGGTGATGGAAAGACCAAGAAGGGAAAGAAGGGTGACGGAAAATCAAATAAGGCTACTGTGGCCTCTACTCCGACGACAGCAGCAGCTACCGCGGCGGCGTCCACAGTCACCATCACTGAGGTCGATGG